CCTTATCCTTAATAGGCTTCGTCCCTACCAGTGGTTGGGTTGTCTCTCGTTATCCTTGGGAGTCCGGTTTCGAACCTCCGTGCCTCTAACTTCTAACATAACATTCTTGCCTTACCAAAAAAAAAAAAAACCGTTGAAAGTATATTAACAATTACAATTGTAATTTAATTAACTATTACAGAATGTTGCTTTATGAGTAACTTTATATGATCTACAAGTCCAACCAGCAACAAAAGTTAAATAAATTAGATATGCATCATATAACTACTGATTGTGTAATATAGATATATCTGAGAGTGATTGGAAGTAAATTAATAATGATGAATCTCATGTTTTGTTCTGTTAGAAAGAGAATTGGGCCAGTATATATGGAAGCCAACTTGATTTTCCGATCAAAGTTCATCAGGTATTGTTTTACATAACTTATGTATATAATATATATACACACATATAAATGGATACTTCAGTATTGAGAGCATTTCAATAAATTAAACAGGTCCGTTAGTACATTTGAGGGTCTATCTCTAAGTGGGAGGTCCGTGTAGGTTAGTTTCATTTTCAGGGAAGTTGCTTATAATTTCGCAAATCATAGAAAAAGTCCATTTAATTTTGACAAATCATAAAGGAAATTTGTCTAATTTACACTTATTTATATATAAAAGAAAAATGATTTTCAAAGCGAATAGCTAGACCAAATTATTTTTAACTCTTAGATATATTTTTAAAAACCAATTATTTTTACTTTAAGACATGTAATTAATTAAGTTAGATTATTGGGTTAATTTCATTGACACCCCATTAGACTTGGCCAAATATCATATTGAATCATCTTTAAAAAATAACTATCACTTGCATTACAAATGTTTGCTCCATTTTTCACTTACACTCCCAAAGTTAATTTAAAAGTGTGTTAGATACATTTTTGTATGTAAAATGATATTGCTATTTTTCTAACTATCTGATGATTTGAATAATGGTTGAAATGACTTGAATATCCTTTGACCTTCATTATATTAATTTAAAATTATTCTTTATATATATATATATATCCCATTTTTAAAACCAACCAAATTATAATTATTTTTTAAAACCAAATTTATAATAATTTTTTAAAACCAACTAAATTATAATTATAAATTTATAAATACTTTTTAAAAATATTCTTTATATATATATATTTCAGGAGAAAAGAGTGAGATGAAGAGTTTTGGGGGTGACAGAGTAACAAATGAGGGCAATTTGATTATTTCAGGCTTTTGATATTTTGAATTAAATAGATTAAAAATTGTCATTTTGTACATTTTTAACGGAAAAAATAAAAAAGAGATTAGTGTCTAAGTGATAGTTAATTTTAAAAGATGTTTGAAGATAATATTTGGTCAAATAGAAAAAAATGTCAATAAAATTAACCCTAAATTATTTAATATATGAAATAGTCTTAAGTATCGTTACTCGTATTAAAATAACTAAAAGTAACATTATGTTTTAAGAATATATACTCAGTTCATGAAAATTCGCCAAACCCATTCCACCATCCTCATTTCTTATATAATTTAATTTAGATTCTAAGTTTTAGTCTAGAAGCACGGTGGCACCTTAAAAGTTTTAGTCTAGAAGCACGGTGGCACCTTAAAATTGACATTCGTCCGGTCAAATTTAACTTTGTTCACTTTTTCTTTTTTCTTACATTTTTCGAGTCTTACTCTTCTAATTTATCAGAACATAAAATAAAAAAGAAAAAAAAAAAATACTATTGAGAGCCTAACTCAATTTAACACATAATAAGATTTCAATACTATATGCATTTTCTCCATGATAAAGTTAGAGCACATAATAAGAGGGGAGGAGTTCGAGCGTCGATGTGGGCAAAGATGTGTGCGCGTGTTTGCTTAACTATCCAAAAAAGAAAAAAAAAGAAAGTAGACGATGTAGAGAAAGAATTGTTTAAGGAGACCGATGTAGAGAAAGAATTATTTTTCTGAAAAGAGAAGGTAGGCAAAAATTTATCGTAATTAAAAATGATTTTAAAAAATTAAATATTAAATAAAGAAGACCAACAATGCGTACGTATGTGACATGGATATTTATATTTTCAGTCCAAGTGAAGGGGGTTGTCTACTTCACACGGATCTGGAGAATCAGTAGCACAGCATCTCAATTGAAGTGACAAAATTGTTTAGATACGAAAAATGTTTACTTCTAAAAACTTGGACTTTTGAATCTTATTTATCTATTTATTTATTTATTTATTTTAATAAAAAACTTTAAAACAGTTAACAGGGAAGACTTCAGAAATAAAATATTTTCACACATCTATATTGTTCTAGTTAAAATGAGTTAGGTTAAGAATGAGGGAATAATATTTTTTTTAAGTGTTTGTGTGAGAATTAAGCGTTTACTTTTTTCTCATAATTTTCGATCAATCTAGGTCACACCGAGTAATTTTCGATTAATCTGGATCACATTGGATAATGACACTTTTTTTATATTTAAAGTTTATTAGTTGCATAATTTCCCGTTCGGCATGCGTTTTGTTTCTATTATTTTTGTTTTTGGGCTGTTATAGTGTCGATTTTGATAACAAAAGCATGTTTGATACGGCTTTGTTTTATTTTACACAGTGTTAAAACACTTCATGAACAGTGACTCAAAACTAAAATATCAAAAAAATATTTTTTCTTATTTTGACAACTGTTCATGATCCAAAATCATACACAGTGCTAAAACACTCCGATATTTTCACAGTAAAATATCGTTTCCAAACATACTTTTGATTTTTTTTTCAAGATATTTTTACAACAAAAACACTGTTTATATATTATTCAAAAATAAAACGGCTTACCAAACGTATTCCATGACAAGATCAAATAGTATAGAGATTGTAGTTTGAAAATTTCAAACCAAATCAGGACTTTTGATGATTTTTATTTTATTATTATTATCTATTTATTTATTTTTGGGTTCCTTCAAAACAGATGGGGACTGACATGATTTTTGTTGTTAATTGCAATGGTGACAAAATCAGAACGTCTCGCTCTTTTCAATAATCAATCAATGTGTAACCGTGTTTTTGTGGAAAATAAATTGGTTTTTGTTTGGGAGAGTGAAGAGGATGTGTGTGTTGTTGGCACTTTAATCTGATCCAAAGGAGCAAGTGGCCACCAAACCTACTTATCCTTCTAGATTTGTGACGACTATGTGATGTAATCATAGCCCTACCACATCTCTTTCACATTAATACATTTCTACCCTTTCTTGATCAAATTGTCTTGATAGGTCAGTGTTCCGAGTCCCCCTCTTTCTAGTTTACTTTAATTTTTTTACTTTATTTTTTTTTAAATCATGGATAAAGAACCAATACATATAATATTTACGAATTTAAAACAGAAACAATTTTTCTGCTTTAGAGTGTGTTTAATATTATTTCGAAACTTGTTTGGTAACGTAAATTTGTTACAAAATTTTTGAAAACAAAAGCGTGAAAGCATATTTGGTAAAAAGTATTACAAGTTTAAAAAATTGAATAACTAGTTAAAAATGCTAATTTAAAAAGATTTTTTATTTTTTATTTATTTTTATTGAACAGTGCAGAAACAAACAAAAATATCATTTTGATACTTTCGATTTTGACCTCAATTTTAGAAGCGTTTCGGTACTATTCAAATGATAACAAACATTGCTAAACATGCTTCGTACTTTTAGTTTGCTACAGTACACTAACAAAAGTAAAAAACACAAAACAAAATCATTAGTCAAACAGGCCATTAAAAAAGAAATTACATACTATTAGGTGAGTGATATGCTAGAAAACAAGTATTAGGGCAATATGAAAAAATAAAAAATAAAAATAATAGTTCAAAGGAAAATATTTTTTTTCCAATTAACCCAAAAAATTAATAGAAATTCAATTTGGGCCAAAGGCCTAAAACCAACCCAAGGCTTGGCCTGGCCCATCAAGGCTTGCAAAAATTATAGGTCATATGTTATATATCTTTATTAAGTTACACTTATTTAAGTTATAATATGAGTAATGTCTTTTCAAAAAAAATAAAACAAACCCGAGCACTGTGATTACTAAACATTTACCCAAAATCAGCCTTTTGAAGGCCCAATTGAGGGCTAAATAGAGACCCAAAATTTGGCCCACTCGCTACCAAAATCAGCATCATCCTACATTAATTTTGACTTAGTATTTGACTTCTCAAAGGCCAGCGAGCTTGGACCTGGGCACTTAAATCATGGGCCGTCTGGGATACTTTTTTAGTGTAACCATTCACAAATGAATTTCAAATGTTCCCACCACTCTATTTTCGACACATTTACATTTGTCAATTGTAATGTGTTAAAAAACAGATATAATATATTGAAAGTAAATATAATGGGTTGAAAAGTATACAACACCTATACAACGGGGGATTACAGCATAGGATTCGAGTTCGAATGGAAATAATAAATAAAACTACTTTTTTGTGAAACGGACTTTTTCTGAGGGTACAGGAAGCCCCTCTAAACAGCCCCAAGTGGACGGTCATAATCCAAAAGAAAGAAAGAAGGAACAATTGCGCACCATGATCGGTTGAAAATCAACATAAAAAAATTCCATCAGAAAGAATGCAAAAGGTACTTTATAGCTGGAAAAGGAGATTCTTATGCAATGGAAGTGTAAGGAGATGCACTAACTCCTTTGTGTATAAATTTTCCAGACAATTCTTTCCACTCCCAAACAATCCCCAAAACCAAAAGAATCACTTGTAGTTTCAACTCCATGGCCTCAATGCAGTGTCAAAAACCAGCCAATCAAACCAACCATCATCCCAAACCCTCCAGTGAGACCCTTCATGGGGATAATGAACACAAGCTCTGCAACAAAGTGAAAGAGATGGCGAACTCGGCACGCAAGCTGTTCACTGAGCATAAACACCAAGAACATCACACACACCATACTTCCACTACTGAGAAGAAAAAGAAGGAAGGGAATTGCATTCCCAGGCTGTCTGATCATAAGAAGAAGGAGAAACACAAGAAGAACAAAAAGAGCAAGGAAGGCAAAAGTAGCGATGGCAGCAGCAGCAGTAGTGACGGCGAATGCTGTCCGTGAGAAGGCAAAGACATGTCTTATGAACTTATAATTCTAAAAACAAGTAGGACACGAATACAAAGTAATTAATCTTCTGTACAGTATATGAGGCTCTCTTAACATCTTTTTGACAAAGTTTCTCACATGGCCTAATAAGCTTCTAAAAGACACAACTCTTGTCTTGCAAATTACTGTGTTCTGAATTTCATGTTTTGTGTATGCAGGACTGAGGAGAAGCATTGTGAAGGTTCAGCTACATGGAAATGAGAGGAATAAAGCTGCCAACCAAGACTATAAGTAAAAATAAGCTATAATTATCTATGACATATGGCTATTGTTTAGTAGAAAATTGATTGATTCTACAAATATGTTGTATACCATATAAGAATAAATGATAATCCTCTTTTGTACCACCTGTGTTATGAACAAAATAGTATAAGTTTGGCATTGAGAAGGCCAGAAGGGAGTGATCATGCATGACAGACAGACAAACTATATATCGATAGTCCCTTCCCTGCATTTAAAGGAAATTTCCTATTGTTTATAATTAATTTGAATTGTTGTTACCACAAAGACACCTGGAGAAAGTTAACAGTCATAAGGCACATCATAAGAGAGTTTTGGAGGGAAAAAACTAGGGCAAACAAATGTTATAGGGAAGGCCACAATTAGATGATCTAAAACCACACTTATTTGGTACAAAATTTTAACCAAGCATAGTGATCTAATGCTCCATCCTCAATGACTAAGATGTTTCAGATTACAAACTTGAGCAATCTTTACAAGACATATGCAACACAAAAGGCACAGAAGGCAGAAAGATGTTAGCCCAGAAACACCAAAATAAGACAAAATATACACATTAAGACCCGTTTGATACAACATGCAAAAGCACTTGTGCAGTAGAGGTGTCACCTTTTTGCTATAGACCTGGAAACAAACCCTGCAATGGCCTTAACAGCGTGATCTTCAGCTTCTTCTTGGGTGGACCCCTTTGACTGCAGATGCTTCTTCCCAATCTTAAATGAGTGGTCGCCACCTTCAATCACATGCAATGCATTAATAATTTTCATCCTCTTCTGAACAGCTTCCAGCTTATCTAGTGGACACAGCCCATCTTTGCTACCCTTCATGAAACAAGATCATCACATGATAATCAGCACAAGCAAAAGAAAAGGATAACTTAAGAGTGCAATTAATACATAGTGCACTTATGAGTACTACGAAGCCAGAAAAACACAAAATGACCATTGCACTTGAAGTAAAATGAAATCAGAATGGTAAACCAAATGTAAAACCTCAGGTCAAAAATTCCTGAAACCATTATCATATCTTCAAACTTAAATTTGCATGAATGCTTGAACTCTATGATCAAAGTGCCATCAGACTACCCAATTGGTATTAAGTAATGTCAAAGCATGCTTAGCCATTGTGTTCATACCTGTTGGTATATTGTCTAATTTACTTAGTTTCTTAATGAATAATATAAGTAGGTGTTTTTACCTGAACAAACATAATAGGTACAGTAAGCTGCAACAATGTCTCATCTCGCACTGTTCCATTCATGCCCTGAAATAGTATGCAACTGGGTCAAGAAAGATAGTTTTGTTAATAGAAGCAATGAATCGTAATTGCCATTTCCTTTATACAACTTGTCAAACATATTGTACACCACCAATCTCACGGGGAGGCGAGGCGTTCTCAAGCCAAGAGACCTACCAGCCCATGAAGGCTTGGAGGCATGCCTTCAATGCCAACACAAATGCTGATTGGCATATAATAACAAGTTGTTTAGCACTATCATGGTACGTCATATTTCTAATCAGAAATGGTTGACTGTACCCCACCACAAATTTCTCATCATTAAGCAACATTTGGCAAAGCATAAAGAAGTTTTTTTAGTTACTAACTTCCTATACTCCGTGTATTACAGTTTTAATTAATTTTTCAACCTTGACCTGGGCATTATAAGGTAACAGGTATAAAAGAAAATTAAACCTGTCAGGGTTGCTCAGATGGTAGGGTCTCAGTTACTACCTTGAGATCTCAAGTCCAAGTCCTAGTTTAAGCGATATCCATGATTCTCGGTTGATTGCGGATATCCAAGGTTTATGTTGTAGACATGAGCCCAACGGGTGTTTCGTCGGAATAGTTCACTAACCAATATATATATATATATATATATATATATATATATATAAAAGAAAACTACCTTTACTAATCAAAGACCTGAGACAAAAATGTGCTAAGCAAAATTTGGAAGTAACCTCACTAGCTGTGGGTTTCCTTAGGACAAGCAAGCAGATGTAGCAAGAAATAATGCTACAAATATATATATATATATATATATATTTTACACACTGATTTATGCAATAATCAATATGGTATTGTCACCCATCTTGTTGCAAAGTTATCCAGACTATACTACCAACTTGAACAGCAATATGAAAACCAAAGATAATTGGAAACAGTTTAGATTTTTGTTTTGTTTTTTTGGAATCTACATCACAATATAGCCCAGCCAACATTATGCAAGCACTTTTAGTGAGCTAATTCTCACTTTTATTTACATGACCCAGATACGAGTTCTTATTAGTTATCATAGCACTTCTACAACAGAGTAGATATCAAATGCTGACAGGGATATCTAAGAAATACATGCAGACTAGGTGGAAAAAAAAAAAATGTGGATCCACCATCAAATCAATTCTTTGTAACATGCAACAAAATAAAAATCATTCTAAAGCATTTTATATGTACCGAAGGCCAAAACTTGGCGCAAAGACAGCAAAATCATTATAACATAAAGTGAGATCCCTGTATAATGGCAAACCTTTAGTGGATACCCCAAGCAAACTACCACTGAAGCATCAATGTCTTTCTCACCGGCCACCATGCAACTGACCCTACATACACAAAAAAAAGATAAATTAAAAATTAATAGAGAAGTAAACTTTTGCAAGGATTATTAATTTTTTTTGTTTGAAGCGTATCTTATATTTGTAATCCATTTTTTTTAATCTTTAATTTATTATTTATATTTTTGCAGGTATGCTCCAAAATTGTTAATATTGCTTCAGATGGATGCATAACTTATAACTGTGTATATAAGCCCATTTCATGTTGATTCCTTTCAGAGAAGTAACAACAGGCAATGGACTACTTCATCTGAAACAAAAATGGAAACCTATAAAAATTTAACCCAACAAAATAACACACACACACACACACACATATTAAAGAAACTAAATTTCACAAGGTTCCAAGTTCTGTCCAAATTTTGAGTTTGAGTATAGCAGGCCTTGACTTCCACAAAATTCCAAAACAATATTTTTTCTCATGAACCTTGACAGATATCATAAACACTATTTTAGGTTATGATCAATTCAACTTTCAATCAAAAGAAGAAGTATCATAGAAACAGAGACTCTTTAGTAAAGTATAAGCAGACTAAGCTCTTCCACAGCATGCATGCGTTCTTCCTTGGAAAAATATAGTGACTATCATTACCTTGAACCCATGGACTTTCCAACCAAAACAAGTGGATGACCAGGATAAGTAGCAGCAGTTTTTCTGACAATCTCTGAGTGAAACTCAACTAACTTTTCTGCCTTGGGAGGAGCCCTGCGCTTCCCACCAGAAATGTCTGCCAAAGAGAAATCCATTAAAATTTGTAGTCCACAGCAGTGACAAGCACTCCAAAGTCCGAAGAGGCTCATAAGTTTAATTTCATATATCATTCAGTCAGTCATATAGGGTCATTTCTAGGTGAAATGGTCAAACTTGAGCTGACTAGCATGGAAAGTACAAGTCAGAGAGCAGCCACTTTGTGTAAAATAATGTAAAAGGTTAACTTTGCCTATTTGTAGTCCACAGCAGTGACAAGAACTCCAAAGTCCGATGAGGCTCATAAGTTTAATTTTCATATATCATTCAGTCAGTCATATAGGGATCATTTCTAGGTGAAATGGTCAAACTCGAACTGACTAGCATGGAAAGTACATGTCAGAGAGCAGCCACTTTGTGTAAAATAATGTAAAAGGTTCACTTTGCCTCCACTCCACCCATCCCAGCACCTCACGTAGTGGGGACAAGCAATGGTAATGGCCTTTATTCAATCAGTCATATCAAAAATCAGATAACCCTTTGAATGAACGCATTATGTAAATCACAAACTTTAATGAGCGTCATAAATCATTAGAATATCAGTTCTCCAATCAGCTTCAGAAACCAATATTATACCAAAAGAAAGCAAAATAAAGCATTTGATTAACAAATAAACTCACATGGGTAATCAAAAGTTACTATTTCAACAGCGTCCAATGCCTTGGCCAACATTTCCTTCCATCTGAATAAAAAGTAGAAATGTGAGCTTTTATAGGAACTTTATGTAAATCATACCGCAGATGGTTTTTCATGTTCGAATTTTTTTATGACAGATGAACTTTTTCTGAATAGCTTCAGTTATTGTAGTTGTTTCTTTCCCTTTCCTGTGTTTCAAATCACCAATAATTACAATTCCACAAGTAGACAATCAACAATAACATCTACAAACATATAGTTTGACCATTTATCACTTCAATGCCCCACAACTAAAGAATAGAGGATCAAGAAGGGTGCTAATCATTTTTCAGTAGGAAACAAAATCATGTATATAATACACCAATGACCAATCCAGCCAAATCAAGTTTCATTACCAGAATCATGTATAGAAATTATTCGCCGATAATAAGTATAGACATTTACTTACTTATCAAAAAAAAAAAAAAAAAAAAAAAAGTATAGACATATACTTGCTTGTATACATGATTTCAGGGGGACTTTGTATCACCATACGGGCATATGATTTAATTAATTGGTGTATGTTAATGCTTGTTAAAAACTTAAGTTTTATAACACAATCTTTCTGTTACATTTACAGTTCTTTTTCCTCTTTCCCATTTTCTGCTTCTTAGCTTTATTTTCACAAGCCCATAACTCTATAGTTTGCTGTTAGTAACAGATGGCAGAAGAGTCTTTAGAGTGGATGGGTGAACATAAGCCCAAGAGGCCAGTCATGTTGTGTAGTTTTTAGGGAAAAACTTCAAATGGCCATAACTTTTGATTCAAAAAGTGTTTCAGGCCTTCTGGAAAGCTCCAAGACTAGCTATACGATGTGGCCAGTTTTCTTCAAGATATCTGAAGCCACTTTATGTGGTTGCAGTTTTTAGGTTTTCTTTTCTTTTTTCTTTTTTCTTTTCTTTTTTAAAAAAAAAAAAAAATTTATTTTTCACTTTTGGTAGCTTTTTTTTTAATTTTTATTTTTTTCAGGGTTGATTCCAACTCTGTTTTGTCTCCGATTTTAAGGAAAGTCAAAATTCATGATTTTTGGTCAGTTCTCAATATATATATATATATATATATATATATATAGAAGAATTTGTACTAATTTAGTAATTTGCTATAAGATAATCCTTTAGCAGTTATTGGGTTTTCCTTTCTTTGCAGTAAGGTTTGGTTCCCAATGTGTTCTTATCTTTGTCTCAATATTCTGCTACTTCATTTACCACAATATATACACACTGTTTAAGAAGGGATGCTCCACCAAGAATGAATCATAATGCTAAAGTGTGGTTGACTAGAACTTGTATGGGAAGAAAAAGAAACAAATACACACACATTTGTATAATGTTTGAGTTCTAAAGTTCTTATCACATTTAGAAGTCAAAATTGTCAGAAAACACTCCACCAAACTAAACAAATAATAGACCTTAACGCAGAACAAAACAGTATCAAACCAGTGGGGAAAAAAAAAAAAAAAAATTCTATGCTACTAAAAATTAGTCTAAAAAACCAATCTTTAAGCTCAAATTTGAAATTTATGCAATTCAGGTATCTATCTAGTTAGGTTATTTAATTAGAGGATATATGTATACATTTACACACACATATGTGTGTAGAGAGAGAGAGAGAGAGAGAGAAGAACAGGGTACCTAATCATCCAATCGGAAGATGAAGGGGCACCGGCACCGTGAGCGAAGACCACCACAGGTGAAGGCTTCTTCTTCTCTTTTGCTTCTTCAACTTCATCATCATGTTCGTTCTGGTTCTTACGTCTACGCTTCAAGGGACGTGAAGAGGCCATTCCTCACTGATCGATCAGAAACCCTAAAAAATGAGTCTTATTGAGTTGAAGCTTTTATCCATGTAATCCTCTAATTTCTTAATTCACTAGTTTACGCGCCAAATATTGAGAAAACCAATATATTCGCGCGCGTGGTAAATTGGTCTGGGCCGAATGCCTTTTGCGCATTTGGATTAGATTGAGCTGGACTTGGATTTAAGTGTCACTGTTGAGTTTGGGCTTTTTTCCCAGGGTAAAGCACAGGCTACAGGCCCAGCCCAAAATTTTCATTTTTTTATTTATTTTGGGAGAACCATATTCGAACTCTTTTATTATTATTATTATTATTATTATTATTATTACTTTTTTATATTTGCACTTCAAATGAATTTTTTAATAAATTAAACAAGAAAATGTTTCTCAAAAGTGGGGAGTGTATGCTTGAGTATTTTTTGAAGAAAAATAGTGTCAGTTTTTTTTAAAATAAGTATATTGTGAGTGCAAAAAGAAAAATGATGGAGAGTTGAATTCGGACTCTTTGCCACTTCTAGTGAGGCCTGCAGGGACTTGTGAGAGGTTTGGGAAGTTTGAATTGGATTTTTTTATAATATTAGGGAAGAAAATTGGATTGTGAAGATAACACCATATATCGATGAGTTGAGGGGTCAACCCAAGCCCAACTTGCACTATGGGCCCTATATATTATCCAAGTCAGTTTGGGCGGGTTGGTCTAGTTTGCACCAAGTTGGATGCGTTTTCAAATAATAAATAATATCAACGAAAAAAGTTTATGACTTTGGTTTCTTTATATGATAAGATTTTGGAGAGGCACTCGGAGTAATCAAAGAAATGCATAAACAAAAAACTAACTAGAAAATTTCTCTTTTCATATGTAATATTGAATTCCTTTTTGCTTATGTTTGCAATACTCAAGAAGATCAGTGAAATCTTCACATGATCACTGAAAATTGTACACTCAGAAAATCAGTAAATAGTAAGAGATAAATTAACAAATCTTAATATTTTTGGCAATAGGTTGAAGTCTGAAGATGGCAGTGATACATGAAGATGATTTTTGGCCAACGAAGATGATCGGCGGTGCCAGTGAGAGCTCTAGATGGCAACAAGATCTGTGGCCAGTGAAAATGATCAGTGGTGGTGGTGGCTGGTGAGAGCTCTAGACGGCATTGAGCTAGAGGCTAGGGTTCAAGTTGGACCGGGTTGAACCCGCCCGAGTTGCACAAGCACATCATTGTTTGATGGGTAGCTTAGAAGTAGATGAAGTATATTAGAGAAACAACTGCATTAATAAGGTTTAGACATCTAAATCAACTATAGACTGTAACATTATAATTTTGGGCGAATTGCAAAAAACTCCCCTCAACTTTCACCCGTTTGTAAAAAACTCCTTATGAATATTTTAAGTAATTAACCCCTCTCAATTATCATGAGGGGGGTCATTTTAACTAACTTCTGTTAAAGTGATTGTGTGATAAAATTTTCGGATGAAATTATCCTTAAAATCAAAACAATATATTAGTATTATTAAAGTACCAACTACTCACTTTATTTTTATTTTTTTAACTGCATAAAATACTAAAACGAGGCCTCTTATTATGAAACGAGGCCTTTGATTTTTTCTTTCGAAATGTTCTTGCATTTGGAATATATATAGTAATATGGTAGTTATTTATCAAATGTCAAACTTAAATTGATTTTGGTCAAAAAAAAAAAAAAAACTTGAACTATGATTTTTTTATAAAATAAGATAAAGAAAGAGACATATATACGAAGGATCGTAGAAATTTATACAATTATAAAAAATTATGAATATAGCATACCCAAAAAAAAATCCAGTGGTATCTACCATAATATCAAAACAACCCCCCCCCCACCCGACAAAAAAAAAAAAATTTCACGCTTGTTTTTTATTTTTATTTTTTTTAGTCAAAAGATATTTCACTTGAATAACAAATATTTTTTTGGACTATCTTCAATTATTTATTTATTCTATAGATATTTTTTTAGTGTTTTATGCAGTTAAAAAAGGGAAGAAAAATAAAAATAAAAAGTGAGTGGTGGGTACTTTAGTAATACTAATGTATTGTTTTGATTTTAAGAGTAATTTTGTCTAAAATTTTTATTACACAATTATGGATATTTTATGTTAAGGGTAATTTTGTCCGATTTTTTTTTTCTTCACACAATCACTCTAAAAGAAATTAATTAAAATGACCCACTCATGATAATTGAGAGGAGTTAATTGGTAAAGATATTCATAAGAGATTTTTTATAAATGGATGAAAGTCGAGGGATTTTTTTTTACAATTCGCCCTATAATTTTTTGTCCACTATTCCAACTATTTTGCAAATTTTAGGTTGACTCTAATGCACTGACAATACTCACAAAAGTTTCAAACTAGTATGACAGAATTTGAAAAAAGTAGGTAAATGAGGCATTTCCCAAATATAGGACTAATTTGGACATTGGCACTATGTCAGTGGAGACTTATTTGCTGGTCTCTCTCTTGGCACAAAAATTCATCACATAAGCAAGGAATACTCGTTATTCGAGTTCGAGTGCGGTGTACCCGTATTCAAATCTCCCTTCACTAGTTAGTCAAGAATCACCAAAATTGGAAGAGATTATTTTACATTCGATACAGCTGGAGAATAATGGATACACATTCATCCAGCTATACGACATGGATTTTGTTTGTTTTCATTCAATACCATTTGAGCACACGGGATAATCATGCATGAAGGAAAAGGTTAAAAATTAGTATGCCAAAAAATTGAAAGGTTGTGGAGATCCCATTATTCTATATTGGTAAGATATGCCATTTGCTTTTTGGTACAGATATAAAGTGAATTTTTTAAAGTTGGATTTGAGGAATGTCAAAGTGAAATTATTTCTGCATAAACATTCTTGTAGCATTGGATATGATTGAGATGCCTAAGCATCTAAGCCCCTTCCTTTTCTTTTCGTTAAATAATAATAAGGGTTACGTGTAAGAAACACACTCATTATACACAAAATGTGTAAAAAATCTCTATTTGTTTCTTTTTTTTTTTATTTGGTAAAAAAATCTCCTACTATTTTTTTGGGTGCAAATTGGCCCCCTAATCAGCCATTTTGACAATATATATATATATATATATCTAATAATAATAATAATAATAATAATAATATAAATCTTCTTCACCGGGGGCACCCTTGTGTATCTTCTTCACCGCCATTAGAGGAGAGGCATACAAGCTCTGAGAAAATAATTGACCAAACAAACTCAGATTGCTTAATCAATTATGAGTTCTATACAATCCCATGGTAAATTTAAGTTTTCACCTTCTTAAAATCCATATAAAATGTAAACATACAAATGATTGCACTTGTTCCACTGAAATGAAGAGCTTCACAATGCAGAGAGTTTAAATGTACTCCCTGGAAATGAGATCAAAACTTCAGGGCATGATTCTAACACCTTCAAATCAGCCTATTGATCACAAAATGAAGTAAAATCTTATTTAATCAGGAAAACAAAAGTTCAAATAGGAAGTCTAATTTTAAATTAGATATTGGAGAGAGACCACAATTATATATATAATTATATACATATACAGAGAGAGATTGTGGAAAGATAAATAGTATAAAACAATCAAGAATGTAATAACAAAATTGATACTAACCAGGTAAAGTTGAAGGGTGGTACTGGTAAGGATTTAGCTCTGTAAGAAAGACATCCTCATCAGTCCAATACTTAGAAGCGGTGGTTGATTATTTTCTCGGAGCTTGTATGCCTCTCCTCTAATGGCTTCTAATGGCCGTGAAGAAGATGAACAAGGGTGCCGGCGTGAAGAGGGCTTTTTCCATTAGGGGCAATTTGCACCCAAAAAAAAACAGTAAGGGATTTTTTGCTCAAAAAAAAAAAAAAAAGAACAGGAAGGGGTTTTCTGCACCTTTTGTATATAGTAAGAATGTTTCTTGCCTAACCCTAATAATAATAATAATAATAATAGCAGCAGCAGCAGTAGTAATAGTGTAAATTACCTCTTATGAGATTTGATCAAATTACGTAGATCGTTCAACTTATTACTTTAATCTCCCCTAAATATGTTGTCGAGAACCAAAAAGAGATTTGAGTGTGAAAAGTTAGTACGTAATGACCTTAATATATTATAATGTGTTTTATACGAATAAAATTGTCATTTTATCAAATTTGGTCATCAAATGTGTTGGAAAGAAAACATTAGAAGTGTTGTTGAACGGACACCAAATCTCAGGAGGCTAAAATAATAAACGCTGAACGATTTACTTGTATATAATTTATTTGTGTATAATTTGTACAAATTTTAAGAAAGGTGAATGTAATTTTTTCATTATATATATATATAAAGATAATTGCCTTGTCATGGTTCTCAAGGGCCAACCATATTGGCTTCAATAATACAGAGCAACTAAACAACTTGTGTTTGACTGTTTATGATCAACAGTACTCTTATCTTTATTCTAGGATATGACTTTTTTAGGAAGCATTAGGATCTGGTTTGGCACAAAATGTCAAGTGCCAAAGATATGTAGACCCCACCAAATGGCCTAATGTTTTCTCCACATCCGTCGTTACCTCCTTTTTTGGGGCTTATATAAAGGACTTATTGTCCAATACTATCTACCAAGCAAGTCAATACCAATGAGAGAACTGGAGTATCTTCAAGGCATTGGTTGCTCACTCTCCCTCAAGGGCTTCTGAGCTGGGACCATCTCAAGTCCCCCAATATGGGATGCTTGAAGTCAGCTTAGGAGCACTTGAGGGGGGGTTGAACAAGCCAAGTCTTGCTTGCTAGGAGTGTGTGTGTGTTTTGTGTGTGTCAATGTGTTCTGGATTTGAGCTCCCAAGACACTTCAGTTGCCCACTCTCCCTCATTGGCTTCCGGCGGTGCTGTGCAGCTACAGCTAGCAAGCCTGAAGCCTTTGAGAAGGGTGGGTGAAAGTTGTCTTGGTGATCGTGGAATTATGGGAATGGCAGTACAAATATATGGCCTCCATTGTTCTCTCTCCCTCAAGGGCTTCCGAATTCGCCTCCCAGAAGGCCAATGCTGAAGCTCTCGAGGAGAGTGAATAATGCATGCCATGTTCTCATGGATTGAGCTTGAAGACCACACCTTTTTATCTCAGGTTAGTGCAATCGTTTTGTTTCAATACCCTACATATATGGTTGTATATATGCAAAGGACTATCTTTATTTTTCAACATTATCATCATACTACATGAACCTACAAAATTAAATAAGAGAGTATGATAATAATTGTCTGCAACAACTTTTCTACATTCATGGTTGTGGTCCTTCACCTTGATCTGTCACATGGGGAAAATGATATAGAATATATATTTGTCACACATCAAGCTAATTTCAGTGCTGGCTTGCAACCTATTTTATGCTTATCTTTTTGTAAAGTCTTTCTTTTTAATTTTAGTATGTTTAGGATAAGATAAGCAGAAAAGGAAAATAAGTAAAAGTTGACACTGATCGAAAACCGTGGTCCATTCTATGAGATTGCAGGTACGGGTACTCATGTTCGAGTCCCCCTCCCCCTAATTTGTCAAGATAAATAAATAAATAAATATATATATATATTATCTAAATTCTATCAGTTGTGTACATGTCACACAATTTTCTTCACTAATTGACATATTTTCACATCCAAACACTACACAAGCACCAAATTCAAGCAGATGACTAAGTCCCTGCATGTGGTTTCCATATGTACATGTGTGGCTTACCCCACACACACACATATGGCACATCCATGTGTGTGTGTGTGTGTTGTGTGTTGTGTGTTTGTCTGTTTGTAGGTCCCATGGGGCATTGGAGACTATGGAAGAAGAATAGAGCAGATAGTGGGAAGTGGAATAACTTGCAGATTCCTTTGATAGGGATCAGTACAATCAATGCAAACTGATAGAGAAGATCTAGCCTAATATTCCCTTTAATTGAAAAGCAAAATTGACTTCAGAATTCACTTTTCTTTGTAACCAAACAAGTTTTAGCAATAAGCCATGAGTAAGGTCTAAGCTATCCTAAGCCACTAAAGAGAAGGAACATCTGTTAAGAGGGCCTTGTATAAAAAAAAAGGGTGTATCAGATAGCAGACAACAAAGACAAGCTTGACAGTCAATTTTAAACCATCTGCACCAGCTGGGATTAGAAAACATCCTCCAATCTGTCTCCAATGGGGGAAAATTTTCTAAATTCATTGTAGTTTCAGTAATTTTTATGTATCGAATTTATGTTGCACAATGTTGATCAGGAGTACCCTGTTGTGCATATATATATATACTTGTGTATGTTACATATACACACATTAATAAAATTCAATAGCTAGGCAAAAAACAAGAATTGAGTTTCAACCATATAAAATGAGAGTAACACATGATTTACATTGTCAGCCTCCCTTTTGGACTTTGCTGAGAAATGTAAACAGCAATTCACTCTATTATGTGTGGGTGTTTTTTTGAAAGGTAATTCCCTCTATGGTGTTGCTTCTTTGTAACCTTAGCTAAAATTAGTTAACTGAGAAGCTTATCAAAATGTATCAAATCACTTTGCATATATATATATATATATATATGAACACAACATTAATTGAAGAAAAGCCCATCAACATATATATGCCATTGAACACAAAATCAAATGAAAAACCAGTCTTCTTTTATTTCACCTTATAGCTTACTGTTTCATTAGGCACGAATAGGACCACAAGGTAGCAAAACTTTCAAGACTAACAAAGTTCATACCATCTAAAACTTCATCAAAATATTAAATTTTGGATATATATATATATCCAATTGTGGAACAGTTGGATCAACTGGACAACAAGGTACAAAAAGGCATATGAATATATTTCTAATACCAATTTGTTGGACAGTCCATTCAATTTTTCATGGTTCGCAACTAGAATTGCTGCCATTATATATATATATATATAGATATAGATATAGATATATAAGAATACATTGTATATAATGAAGTTATTATGCATGCAACATACTTATCTGCCGCTAAGAACATCTCCTAAGTACAACAGTACCTTTTCCATTGAAGGCCTTGGGTCGGGCGACATATTTGTACATGCCAATGCAATGTCCAAAACCTGCATAGCTTGCTTTCTTGCTTTCCCTTCTACAGAAAACTCGAAAAACTCAATGTCCCCATTTTTGATCTCTTCTTTCTTCTGAGTTATGCACTTCATCTGACCTAGAGCCTCAGGCCCTGCTAAAATGTCCAACACTACGATCCCAAAATTGTAGACATCACTTTTCTGGCATAAATTGTCACAGTATGAGCCTACTGGTGGTGGTGGGGGTGGCTTATGCGGCCATGTATCTGAAACTTCTATCCGCCGTGCCAGTTGAGTAAAGCCATAATCTGTCAAGCAAGCACTGAAATCGATATTGATCATGACGTTGGAGGCTTTGATGTTACCGTGCACGTTCAGCTGCAAGTTTCTGTCCTTTGGAGGGGAATGTGAATGGATGAAAGCGATGGCTCGCGCAATGTGAAGTACTATTATGAGCCGATGATTCCATTCTAAAGCTGTGTGACCATATTCCCTTGCACCTAATGTATCAGGAAAACAAGAAGAGTACATTTCACAAATATTTACATTATTTAGAGTGATCTTCAATGAATATTCAAAGTGCTTGCAAACTAAAAGAAAAAAACAAATGAACCACAACACTATTAATTATGATACTAAAGCTATGTTTGGCAGCACTGAATTGGCGTCCTGTAATTGGAAATAGAGAAAATTTTGAACTTTCTTCTAATTCCTGTGTGACAAAAATGTCCATTATTAGATGATGTAGATCTGTCTCACAGTGAGACCCATCTCACACTAAACATGAACAGTCCTCGTATGGCACGCAAACGTGTCCCTAGCATTTTACGCAAGGGGGCCAAAATTAAAGAAAATTGCTTTGAAGACACACAATTGCTCTTTAACAACCATTTTAGGGTTCGTCAAAGTTATTTATTTGCTTATTCGCCAACAAGCCAATTTAGATCATGTTTTCAGCTTTAATGATTTGGTTTTCCACCTTTGAACGAATACCATGAGTCATAAAAGCAGCTAAAATTTGGAGATTCCATGTGTAGTCTTCAGGTGCTTTGGGCCATCTTGAATAGACTTAATTCTTCGTTTAAGGAATTTTATGTATTTATTTATTATTGTTTTTCTTTACTATTCATTTTGAGAGATGAAAAAAGATATCACTGGTTACTGGGTCAATATAAGTTTTAGAATTCATGTCATGTTTTTGTAATTTTAAGATCTTTTTACAGTTATTAGGTAGTATTTTTTATTTTAACTAATATGATTCTCCTTAATTGGGACACTGTCCAATCAATTGTGGTGGTTTATGACAAACATCAGAAACCATGAACAAATAAAAAAATCCACGCTTCAGGTATGTAGATCCACGTGACACAAAAAAATATAAATATTTATGTAATTTGGTAAGTCTGAAGATTCAACAAAAAAATTTTAATACGTGAAAAATAAAATATTACAAGTTTCAATCCTCAAACCTCCTTTCTCATACCACACATCTTAAACCCTAAATGTCCTTATATATTAGAGAGTTACAAAAAAATTCAAAAATTAGATCCGTAATACATAAGAGAGAACAAAAATTGGATCCATAATCCGCAAGAGAAATATAGGTACGAATCAAAATCAGATAACAAATCAAAACAAAATTCAAACCACAACTTCACAATATATGTCATATTTATATATAGATATACTATATATATATATTGATCATGAAAATGAAAAGTAAATAAATATTATAAATGAGAAGAAGTAAATAAAAGTAAAAACATATATACCAGCAAGCAAGTCAGCCAGGCTTCCCATGGGATGGTAATCAGAAACAACAAACTTGATCCTTTTGGAATACAAGAAAGCATTGACAGGCACAAGATACTCACACCTCCTGCTAACCTGCGCCAGCAGCTGAATCCTTCTCCCGAACTCCCCCCTCCCAACACTCACCTTCGTAAACCTCTTCACCGTACACACTTTCCCCACCCACAGCACCACTTTCTCCGTCATCCCCAACCTGCTCTCGCCCAACACCCCTACCGACGCCCTCAACAACCCCTTCAAGGTCAAGTAAGCCCCTCCTCCGCCGTGGCCACCGGGACCCACACAGTACTCCCCTCCATTATTGCTGCCGCCGCAGAAGATCAGAGGCATGTCCTCCATGAACCCTATCACGCAGTCCCCATATTCGTCGATGGACCGGCAACTGTTTTCGGCTTCACCGGAGCTCCTCCTGGGCTTTGTGAAGGCTCTTGACAGCATGTTTGATGATCTGCTAGCTTCAAGGTTGGTTAATGGCTGGCATTGGTAATGGTGGTGGTCCTTTTTGTTCAAGTTCTTGATGTTTGGTTTTTGGCTACAGGGGTACGTACGTATAGCTCATGGTTATCATCGAATTATTATAATGCTGGTTGTTGATGAATTTTGTTTTTTAAGAGAGAATTTCACAAGATCCAAACTATGTAGTCATTGAAATACTCCTCAAACTGGATTGGTTATTCAAGTTATTATATATCAATTGTTTAATTAATATTCATTCATTGGGTGCATATTTACTATGTATATACAATGGATATTCAGCTGAAGCAATATTCACTGAATCACTGTCTATATATACCGTCAGATGAGAGCTATGAATCTGGTGGAATATCATGACTGTTGGACAAATTTTGATAGGATAGATCAAAGGTCAGTGACGAAGAAAACTACTGGGTCATTGTTTTACAATTCTTTAATTGATTGGTTTTGCTCTTTTTCATTTCATTTTTTTTTCTTCTTCTTTTGTTCTATATAATATTATAACCTTTTCACGTTGCAAAATGCCAAATTTCAGCACCACATAGCCAGGATTGTAAAGTTGAAGTTAAAGAAAAGAAAATTTGTAGATGGACACAATTGAAATATTAAAAAAATTTCTTGTAGAACTAAGATATGGTAAGGGTATATTGTGTTCAATATGGTTTTATTTTCATGTCCAAGTAATTAGATCATGAAATTGATCATTTTTTTATTGAAGATCCGATCCGAGAGGACCTAGAAACTTAATTTACCAAGTTTAAATCAACTTAAAATCAGGTATAAAAACATATTTGTTATCCACCATCAAGTACCCATTAGAATTCGTTTTCCGGGTAAAAATAAAATAAAAAATTATCCAATTAAACCTTGAACATCCATTCAACTATTAATGGATAAAGTTCTTAAATTTTGAAATAAGACTGCCCATGTTATAGGGAATATGGGTTTATGTCCTAATATTAATGAAATGTTGGATGTTTCCTTACTTTCTAGTAGTTGTAAACTTTTTGAATTGAGATTTCTAATTAACATAATTTATGCTGGAAAAAATAAAAGATAAACACATGAACACTTCGAAAAAGAAGGATAGTAGCAAATATAGCCCAGGTAAACACATACAGTTGGGCTGATATGAAGATAAATTGGTTACATATGCATTGGACTTATATGAATAGTAGTATTTTTTTTTTTTAGTTCGACCTGGGGTATAACCCAGATTAGCCCATTAATAATTTCTCCCTTGTATATATATATACACACATGTACACCAAAGCAATGCCCCGTCGTCAATAGTATTTTAGTTTTAGTTTTAGTTTTTTTATTTTTATTTTTATTTTTTACCAATAAAGAGAGAGTTAAATGTGTGCAATTGTATCTTCTTTTTATTTATTTATTATTATTATTATTTTTTTGTAGGTACCTTATATTTATGCAAAAAGTACCCATAAGTTTTACCAAGTAATGGTGTACATGATAATTCTCCAATTTTATTTTTTAAATATATAATTCATTGGGAGAGAAGTTAGAGCATCTCCAATGAGGTTGCCATATGAGATGCCAATTCAAAATATAACAGGTGAGTTAAAACTGAGCTCTCCAATTGGTTGTTATATTAGCTGCTAAAATTTGCCTTTGCTATTTTTTGTGCCAAATCTAGCAAAACAAATATCAATAGCTATTTCTATATTTTGTGCCAAATCTAACAGAAATATATGAGTTTTGAACTTTTGATTATAAAACAAGAATTACAGACCTTGATATATATATATGCATACACAAAATCAAGAATTACAGATATCGATTAGTTGATTTAGAAAAAAAATTAAAACAAAACCCATACATACAAGTTAGCAGTTGTCCTGGGGGGGGGGGGGGGGGGGGAAGCTTGCGAACGGCGAACCCGATCTGGAACAGCGGGCGATGGAAACTGAAAGATATGGGTTTTGATTTTTTGAACAATCTGAAATGATACGCCGATATGGGTTTTGATATAGGTAATAGGTTTTGAACTTTAGATTCTTGCAGATAGATAGATAAACTGAAATACATGGGTTTTGAACTTCTGATTCTTGTAGATTTTGTAGTTTGTAGTTGCAGAGAGAAAGGGCAAGTTCTCAGAGTTGAGAACGAGAATAGAGATGGAGGCGATTGGGGAGGCTGAAATGATTTGCCCTAAAAATATATATATTTTTAATAATAATATAATCAAATATATATAATATACTTATATATATATAATATATATATAAATTTCTGAAAAAGAAAAAAATATATTATATAAAAAAATTAATTCCCAAATAATGGTAAAAAAATAATAATAAATTTGTTTTTTTTTTTTTGACCAGATATTTTAAATTTTTGCTTCTTTTTAATTATATTTAATTTTAGTTTCCTTCTAATGTCTACAACTTGACTTAAAATGTGCCTAATATTAATATTACTGATGCAAATATGAATGGTGAAAATAGTAGTTGAAAAATAATAGTGGTTGTGTCAAAAAATAGTATTTTGCATGAAATGCACCATTAATTAGAACAGAATTGCCAAAATGTAGCATTTTGACATTGTAACACTTGTCAAAATATAGATTTGACATGTGTAAATGACTTTTAGCATTGAGATGGTCTTATTCAATTTTTTTCTACTCCTATATTTTATGATTCAAAACAAGTTGTGCGAGGTCAAATTACAGGATCAAGCAATCTCAACCGTCGGACTTAACTGATATATATATATATATATATATATACACACACACACATGTACTGCAAAACAATTGCCCAGTCATCAATAGTATGTCAGATTTTGTTCTTGTTTTGTTTTTTTTAAAAATTTTTTGGCAATAAAGACTCCAAAGAGAGTTAGATGTGAGCAGTTTTTTTTTTTTTTTTTGGTACCTTATATTTAGGGTAATATCAGTTTTGTGTACAAATAATCCTTTCTTTTTTAAAATATGTATTTCAGTCTATAAAATTAAAAAAAAAATACAAATAAGCCCCTCACACCACTCATTGACAAAAAGTAAATATAAAAACTCCTTATTACCCCCCTTTTTTATTTTTTATTTTTTTACCCCTAACTTAATTTGCATAAAAGCCCCCTAACACATTTCCTATTTCATTTCTCTCTCTCCCTCTGCATAAAACCCTAACAAGCCGTCGCTGCCGCTGCCGCTGCCGCCGAAGACGCCACCCACCCCCACTCTCTCTCTCTAAAATTCTCACCTTTCTCTCTCTAGTGTATGAGCGGAGAGAGCGACTAAAGGAATAGGGCTTTTTTATGGAGGGTTCTTTGTTCCAAAATTCGAAGAAAGAAGTGAACCTGGCCGAGCTGCTTAAGAAACTGCACTTGACCTCGCCGCCGGATCAACCTAGCTTGGAGGAAACTGTAGAATTCTTCATTGCATGTCCATGTTTCAGAGGAGCTTGAGTGCAGATTTGATGATTCTCATTGAGTCGTTATGTCGGGTAGCGGGTCGGATAAGAAAAAAAAAAATGTGTGAAGGAAGTGTGTGAGGTGTCGTGTTGTAGAGAGAGAAATTCAAACAGGGGAGGGAAAATGTGTGAAGAGTTGGGTCTTCGACTGATCTTCCACGCAAGAGAGCGGTAATTACAATTTCGTCCCTGTTAATTAAATACTAATTCATTGAAAAAAGGGCATTTTAGGCAAAATGTTTACCTTCAAAAAAAGGCGGGAAAAAAAACGAAGAGTTTTTCAATATCAAATTTGCATAAAAAAGGAAAACATATAACAAATATGATGTAAAAAGGGAAAGGAATGAAGAAAAAAAAAAAAAAAGAGAAAGAAAGAAGGGGGATTTATGGTGTGAAATCCTTTAATTGAATAGAAAATTCAGGAAGTTTACAGAATTTTTTAGGCCCATTTCATGTTTTTTTTTTTTTTAGTTGAAGGTAAGCTTGTATTGAAGATAAAATAGATACATGAAGCCCTCAAAAAAGAGGGGAAAACAAAATCACATGGAGGCCAAGGCCAATAGCAGAGACAAAAAGACAACAAAAGGTTAAAGGACCTATACAATACACAGCAACCATTGAAACATGGCAAAAACCAAGTCTTGTTTCTTGTGAACAAAGAAGGGAGACACTGCTATCTTCCAATCCCATTTCATGTTGTAATACGCTATACAAATGCATTGCTAAGCTCATTGCAGGGAACATCAAGCTTGTCCTTCCATCCATTATTGACTCGTGCCAAAAAGCCTTTGTTCAAAGAAGGCATATTGGGGATAATGTCATGCTTGCGCAGGAGCTCATGCAGGGGTATCATAGACATCTTAAGCCTCCAAGATGCGCAATTAAGGTGGACCTTAAGAAGGCATTTGACTCTGTGGGTTGGGAGTTTATACTGGACACTCTCTCACTGTTTGGATTTCCCTCTCTATTTGTTGAATGGGTTAAAGCTTGCATCACATCCCCATCATTCACCATCTCAATAAATGGTGAATTCCATGGACATGCACTTTCAAGGGGTGAAGGGACTTAGACAGGGAGACCCGCTCTCTCCTCTACTCTTTGTGCTAGCTATGGAGGTCTTCTCCTCTATCACCAACACATACATCTCAAACAACCTTTCCTTCAAATTCCATTCAAGATGCAAGAATCTATCAATATCCCACCTCATCTTTGCTGACGATTTGCTTCTCTTCTCATATGGGGATCTCAACTCTATTTATACATTAAAGAGCTCACTTGATCATTTCTCTTCCCTCTCTGGATTAAGCATCAATTGCTCTAAAAGTACCTTCTTTACTTCTGGACTGGACATTGGCATGTTAAATGACATCAAAGCTCTGCTAGGGTTTGAGTGTGGTTCTTTACCTATTAAGTACCTGGGAGTGCCCTTATTATCTACGAGACTCCGAGCATCCGATTGTAGAGAGCTTGTGGAAAAGATTACCAGGAGGATTAGCCATTGGTCCTCCAACTTTCTATCCCATGTTGGTAGAATTCAGCTCATTCAGTCAGTGCTGTATAGCATGATGAACTTATTTATTCTACTTTTTATGAACTGGAACTGAGTTCAAGCATTCAGGAGCTAAGGTTACATGGGGAGCTGTATGTAGTATGTAAACCTAAGGAGTGTGGAGGACTTGGATTTAGGAACCTTAGTGTAACAAACATTGCAGCCTGCCTTAAGCACATATGGAGACTGTTATCTAATCGCAGGGATAGCCCGTGGGCTAAATGGGTAAAGGTTCAGCTAATTCGGGATCGTTGTTTCTGGACTATTCCTATCCCTCAGTCAAGCTCATGCATATGGAAGAAGCTTCTTCAACTCAGAAGGGTTGTGAGGTCCATGTGTAGAAAAGTGGTGGGTGATGGCAACCTTACTTATTTCTGGGAAGATAACTGGCTACAAGGAGGCCCTCTATGCCGACGAGTCCCACTGGATACTATAATGAATGCACCTATTCAAAGGGAATAGAAGCTCTCTTCATTTATCGTTGATGGGGAATGCTCATTTCTTGAGGAGATACCTGTGCTTATTCCTGAGATCGCACTGATCGTCCCTCTGAGCACCAATCTGGATACCATATTTTTGATCCCTTCCCCAACTGGTTCCTTCTCTACAAGTCACACCATCAATTGGCTCTCACCACACTTCCTACCTTGTCATTGGCATCACCTTGTCTGGAGCTCCTTCTCGATTCCACGATGTAAATTCACACTTTGGCTGGCTGTACAAGGGCGCCTTCCTACACTGGATCGGAACTGCACCCAATCAATCCAAGGCCCTAGATTATGCCACCTCTGTCAAAGGCAGGATGAATCTCATAACCATTTACTCTTTGACTGCCCGTTCGTGAGACCAATTTGGATCCACCTGCAGGACAAATGCCAATCCCATATTCCGGCGACGAAATGGCCGGAACTGATTTCGTGGGCATCGAATAATTGGCGAGGCCGGAACTTGAAGAACTTGATCAATAAGTTGTTTCTCTCCACATTTGTCAACCGAATTTGGACCGAGAGGAACAATAGGGCCTTCAAGCGACTGAGTTGCAATCAATCGTCACTGCTGAAACAAACAAATGATTTGATAAGAAACAGGCTTTTTTCAATGACGGTAAAAGATTCTTCCTTTGCATAATCAGTGATCCTCACCTGGGACCGTCCTGGTTCCTTCATACGTCCTCCGGCGGAACCTCCAGACTAGATGGAAAGGGGTGGGCAGATGTTCTGTAGGGATTCTGTATTGACCTACTCACGCACCGGATGTTTGGAGAACGCAGGGTAAGTTTAGGAACCCTAGACTTTACTGAGTTGGACCAATTGTTGGGGTGATGTATCCTTGTTGATTATGTTTGGGCTCGGGCTAGTGGGGTGTTCACTGGCCTGCTGGTTTTGTTTGGGCTTCCGCCATTGTACATTCTCTCTTATATAATTCAGATTTACCTTCCAAAAAAAATAAAAAAACTTTGGTGGATGGTCCGATATAAAAGTGGAAGTTTTCCTCCAATCACGTGGATGATAATGCCTATTACTCGCTGATTTTCACTCCACTTGTGGAAAATCACACAAACTGCCCCAATTTTACCATATATATACCAACCCAACCCCACTGATCTTTTCCATTCCAAATATTCTTCCTTTCCACAACAATGTCAATGTCCACACTCGCCGTTACCGTCACCGTCCTTCTCTCCCATTTTTTCACCTTCTCTCATGCCCGTACTCCGTTAATCCTCCCGGCAAATGACGTCATCCAACGCCATCCCTCACATTCCTCACCGGAATCTGACACCAAGTCCACCATTCTCCTCCCCAGCCAGAAACCGCCCTCCAAACCAGTCAGCATCCCCGATCAGTTCTTAGAACCCGAACCCATCAACACCGATACTCAGCCCATCGAATCCGCCGTGGACCTACCGGAATCTGACGCGGCCACGCTGTCCCGACCAACGAACGTCGTCAGTTTCCGTCCGATCAACCGTCAGTTCCGGTTGAAACGTCCGTATCCTGTCCGATTCTCTCACCACCACCGCTGCCGCCACAGATCCAAGACGACGAGCCCCAGCGACGTGGTATTTCCCGGCGAGAAAAGTGATCTCCAACCGGTGATGTTCCGCGGCGGCGGTGGCGTGCGTCAGATTCCAGCGAGGTGGGTCACATTTCACCACCACCACCGTCAGCATCATGACGCGAGGCCGAGGTTCTCCTTCAAGCACCACCGCATGTTCGAGAAAGAGCGTTTCAAGACGGGGGAGAAGAACAAAAAGAATAAGAGAGAAGGTAAGAAAGGTCGTGATGAGAGAGAAAATGGTTTCATGAAGCGCATTCGCAAGTTTCTAATCACTCCCACTTTTTGATACTACATATATATATATATATATATATATATATATATATATATATATATGAGTTAATTGCATAAAATCTATAATTACATTTTAGGATTTCAGTGCTAAATTTTTTTAAAAAAATTAGAAAATAAATGGATCAAAGCACATAATTTTTTATTTGAAAATCTTAATTTATGCTTTGGATCAACTGCTCTGAATTATAAATGTTTTGCATATTGTTCTCTTTTCAGAGTAATGTGTAAACTTATTATAATTCATGGATTTTGTGCAATTAATGTAAAAATTTTCAGTACTAGCTTAGAAGGATTTATTTTGGATTTATTTTATCTCCGGATCGTAACATCCACACTTTTTTTATAATTTAGGAGGTTTTGTGCAATTAACTATATATATCTATAGTTCTGTAGAATTGATACTGATGTACACGCCTATATGTGATTTCTATTTCCAATTTTGATTTGTTAGACTTAGCGTCCAGTTCTGTAAATAAGTTTGCATCCATACGAGATGTAGAAGTATATACAGATTTTTAATATATATGTGACTCGTTCAAAAATGATTGTGTTCATGCATTAGCCATATTATTGATTTTTTTTTTTGTTTTTCTTTTAAAAAAATTGAGTGGTTGTGATATTTGCATGCGTGGCATAATCTGAGGCTACATGATCTGGTAAAAAAAAAAATTCCCACCGAGGAAGCCTATTAAGGGTAAAAGAATTGAATGCTTAGGAACGGAGAAGGCAAGGTCCATTTGATTCTCCCTCCCCCTCCACTACAATTTCAGGAGCCTGAAAGGTATTGGTTGGGTGGCTGAGTTCCAAGGATTGCCTAAGAGGAGATGGTCAGGAGATGGTCCTCAACGTGATATCGAGGGTGAACCTCATAAAGAATCAATTTGAAGCTCATTGATAATCGACGATCAGTTTCCTTTTATAGTATCCTATATCCTAATCCGGGGGGAAAAGTTGAATCCTAGCTCGCTACCTCCTAAGAAAGAGAGATTTTGAACCACTAGACGAGGCATACTTGCCTAACTACCATATGAGAGAAAATCAAACCGCGCATTAAATGTGCCGTTCCTCTAACAAGACTAACGTTTAATTACAATTCACATTCAACATTGGCTTACTAAATTGTGAATGCATCAACTTGAAGCTAGAAATCATTCAAATCTATAATAGGCTGCTCTCAACCTATGGAATAATAGATCAAGGAGACAAGTAAAACATCATTCTTATCGGAAGGAGCTACATTTGAATTTTTTTTTTTTTTTTTTTTTTTTTTCACTAAAAGAAATTAATTACACTCCAATTAAATAGTAAATAATTTCTAAGTCAATGTTGTACTTTGACCCCTCTATGCATAATTATTTATCGGATTATAAAACCATCAATCCGATAACATAATTAATATAATTATTTTGTTACCTTTGATTATTTCCGGTTTGATCACAATAAAAGTTTGTTTGACAAAAAATAATAATTTACTAAATAAATATATAGAAAACATTTTATCTAAAACATACGAAGGCCTTCGAATTTAATTTGTGATTAACCATAATCAATATAAAATAAATACAAGTAGCATTGATACAAATATTGAGAATATAACCATCTAACTTTTAATTACATAACTACTCAAAGTGTCGGTCTAAAGATCCCGAAGTATTCGCCGAACAAATCCAAGTAATTATTAATTAATAAAAGAGTCTATACTTCTCTTATGCTTGGGAGTCAAAAGCCATGACTGTGATAGAGACCAATTGTATACGACGGCTCTCGCAATATATCTCAACTTATCATGGACTCGAGTCAAGTCTTCTTTAATTAAATGTTCATCCATAATTACCGACTATGAACAATTTATGATTACTATTTATATTCATGTATCGATCACTATCACATACATATATAAATATCTCTTGTAATCAAGTGGACACTATCAATTCCATAATGAATCGAAACATAATACATTGAATTCACCAATTATATAAATCATAAATATTTCAGATATGTCAGGAACAAATGTCACTATAATCCAAACAGGAATTTACTATGCTAGGGCATATGAATCCCAACAGCTCCCACTTGTCCTCATAGCCAATTCAAATTGCATCCAACTCCGGTGTTATCTAGGTGATAATCAAAACTATTGATCAATGACACCTTTGTTAATGGATCAATAAAGTTGTGTTCCAATGCAATGTTCTAGTCATAAGTACATTTTCTTGCCGAACAATATCATGTAAGATATGATATTTCCTTTCAATGTACCTTATTCCTTTATGGATCCTTGGGTCATTGGTTTGAACTATTTCTGCACTATTATCGCAATATAGCTTGATAGGCAAGCTAGTATGCTCCACAACCTCTAAATCAGTAATATCAAACCAAAAGGTTTCCTCTGCTACCTTTAAGGCTGCAATTTACTCCACCTTCAGGTTTGAGTTAGCAGTTGAAATCTGCTTAACAATTTACAAACTGATTTCCTTTCCATTGAGTGAATATACACCAAGTCATGAACCCTACAATATCTACATTTGATTTAAAAATAGAACTAGCATACCCGACTAGAACCATATCATCACATCCATAAATGAGTATGAGATTATTGGTTCTCCTAAGGTACTTTATGATATTTTTCACAACAGACCAGTTATCAAGTCCGGGATTGGACTGATATCTACTGACAATCCCTACAATGTAGTGGATGTCCTGTTTGGTATAGATTGTGGCATATATGAGGATCCCACATGCCGAAGCATATTATTCCACTCTCATTTGCTCAATCTCTTCTGCTAGTCTTGGAAAATTACTTACTAGAGAGAGCAATCCATATTAATAAAGTAAGAACTCATTCTTTGAGTTTTGCATACTAAACCTGGTCAAAACTTTAATTAATGTAGGATTGTTAAGATAATCATATTTTTCTTTTAACCTGATCTTGCAAAAGCTTGATCCTAGGAATATATCTTACATCTTGAAAATCCTTCATTCCAAAGTAATTGAACAACTACCTCTTTACTAATGACTAAACTTCCACGATATTCTAAATGAGTAGGATGTCATCAATATATAGAATTAGGAAAAATAATGACATTACCCTGCACACACATGGTTCATTCACTAAGAAATCTTCTGGTATCTTTTTGTAGATTAACTTGCCTTCCATAGGTATCACCTTACTAAAAAGTTCTACAAGATCCCAGATTTTATTAGAATACATAGATTCCAACTTTGATTTCATATCAACTTGCCAAAATGATCTATATCCATATTGGTTCACGCTTCTGTGTAGCTTACTGGGTCCAACTCATGTTTAACAGGGATGTCCATAACTGTCTCACCTAAAAACATGATTTTGTCGCATTGGATGATAATCCTCCCATTACATCAATGTACCGATGCTGGAATCTGTGTACTAGATGATGTTGACGCATCAATAGAGAATTCATTTATAATTCTTAATTTCTATAATAAGTATGTTCATTTGTCATACATCTGGTACTCATACCATATTCTCTAACATTATGCTACTAGGTATATGATTCATAATATGATCTTCTTCTAGATAAGTAGTGAGTGTTAACAATCAACTTTTATCATTGAGATCATAAAATAATCCAACCTAGTGCCTTTAGAGTAGCTATAAAATCTATCATACATATGATCTGTTTCCAACTTACTTGTCCATATCAAACGCACATGTGCAAGACTACCCCATATGTGCATATGATTCAAACTAAGATTTAGTTAAAAACACAGCTCAAAAAGTATACTTGAGACAGACTAAGATGGAATGCAGTTCATAATGTGCATTGATATCATCAAGGCTAAACTCTAAAATGAAAGAGATAATGTAGCATAATTGATCATAGATCTAACCATGTTAAGCAGATTTCTATTATTCCTATTTAACACCTCATTTCATTGAGCGTTAACTGCGGAAAACTGGTACAATACACCCTCATTGACCATATAGCCTTTGCACTATCCCAAGAAATACTCATATCCACGATTAGATCGAAGTGTTTTGATAAGTTTACCTAATATGTACTCCACATTCTTAGAATATTCCAAAAGTTTAAGACTTGTTTCGCATCAGGTAAATGTATCCAAAAAGTGAGTAATCTTGCTTGGATGTTCATAAGACCACACATGTCAGTGTGTACCGACTCCTATAGTTCTTTATGTCTATTTCATTTGGCAGATTAAAGCCCTTAGGGTTATCTATCCTTCAAAACAGGATTCACAAGTTGATTTAGGCTCCCTTGCCTCACTAAGTAAAAAATTTTGTTTGACCAATCTTTAAATCTCATTTTGACTGATTGTAACCCAATAATAGGCACTAAAAATACAATGAGTCGGGAATAACAAATTTTCTCTTAACATTCAATCTAGAAGATGCAACATTAGGTTCTACATTATGCAAATATTAAGAGCTAGTGGTTATAGTATATTAACCATCTTTTAATGCACTAGAAGCAATCGCACATCTATTCAATTTTATAAAAGCAGTTTGACCAAAAGTAACAGTACAGTTTTTATAAACCAAAAGTAAAACAAGAATGAAATTGCGTCTAACATCTGTGCATAAAGATAGTTCTCTAATACTAATATCTTCATACTCTTTAATTTCATATGTAATACTCCCACTGACTTAACTATAACCTTAGCATCAGGTCAAAAGACAAATATATATCCATATCGTCAAGGCTTCTAGATTCTTGAAATCCTTACAATGAATTGCAAACATGTTTAGTGACTCCAGAATCTATCCATTAGGAATTAATAGATACAACCACATAATATGGCTCAATGATTAAATATATATTTTCCTATGCCACGTCGTTACTTAGACAATTCGTCCTTTAGTGTCTTAGTTAGCCGTAAAAGAAACAGTTTCCTTCGCCCTCGACTTACATTGCCTTACTTCCTTTAACCTTTTGGATACCCATGTTTTGTGCTAGCCTAGTCTTATTATCATCCTTTTTCTTTCCTTTGCCCTTCCACTTGGACCTAGAAGAAAATGGTATAGACTAGGTTAGATTGATAGGAACGCCCATATTTTTTATTATCCCTTTATATGTTACCAATTATATAAGAATATCAGCGAGTGTGAACTCAAACTGATTCCTTATTTAGTTCACTCTAAAAGAGTTAAACGAGTTTGGTAACAAGGCAATAATTATGTCAACTTGAAACTTACCATCCAAGTCAGCCCTATTGACCTCCAGTTTAATTTTTAAATACTAAACAATCATTTTCCAAAATTTGATGTTTTATTGGATATCCTTAGGCTATCTTGATGGTATTTAAATCTGATATAGTACTTAGGCATACGATCTATCTAATCTCACCAAAACATCTCATTGAGATTTAACATGATGCTTAAAGTAAATAAAATAATACAAATGTTAGTTTTAGAGCGTATTCGAGATAAACTCTATAATATTATACCGAGCCATTTCATTTGTCTTATTTCATTTATTAAAAGCGTTAATACCTTCTTATCTTAAAGTAAAAGGGAATTAGGTATAAGAATAGTAAATACATT